CACAAAAAAAATGGAGTTTAGCGAAAAGGAATTATGGTTAAGCTTTTATTCCAAACAGTTAGAGTAACTAGTTTCTACTTATTCAGACGGAAAAAGGAGAAAATAAGCTTAATCAAACGAGGCCTAATTATTACTCAGAGGGCTCTGTGGAAGCTAACACATTTGAAATGCATTTTCAAACTATGAGGTGATTAATTCCTCTCATAGCTAATTGTCTTTATTTAAATATTTATCACACAAAATGATAGAAGAATATTTTTTATAAAATAGTCATAATAAAAATTTCAAATGAATAAAAGGAAAATGATACTCAAATATATATATCTGATGTTTATAAAATTAGAAAAAGGTTAAAACAAATGGTCTACAAAGAGCAAAAAATTTATGTATTTGGGATTTTTTTCTTTTTAAACAAAAGAATAATTTTTAACAGTGTGAGTAATGCTTGTTCATTTATTTAAGTGATTCAATAAAGAAAATTACAAATATATCTTCTATTTCAATTGATCAAGCAATGAAGATCTATTATGTGAACTATAATATAATATTGATAACATAGAAGATGCAAAAATAGAAACAACATTTTTTTTACTAATTTATTTATTGTATAAAAATATTTGGAGATGACGAAGATGTTGGAAATTGAAAGCTATATTATATTAATTAATTTCTGGATGTCAAAAACAACTTCTTATTATTGATTATGGCGGTTCGCATATTATGATCAATGTATTTGCATGGTGTTTTATTTTTTTTTTTAAATTAAATAAAAAAGGTGCTATGAAAAAAATATTTGAATATTAAGTAAATATATTTGAAAAGCAAATGAATTCAAATTGAAAATTAAAATTTATTTTCTTTATCATAGATTAAAAGGTGCAACCTTAGTTGACAACATTGAATTGAAAAATGTGGAGACCACGCAAAATGTAACGGCAAGTGGTGAAGCAACTGCACTTTTGGCTGAGTTCAAACTTTCATTGAACGCCTACTTCAAAGATCTCGTGTCGTCTCCCATACGATCTCTAGCAGATGTCATAGAATTGAACAATCAGCATTCGATCGAGGTAATTATAATATAATCATCGTGCATCTATAGTTACATGTAAGGAAGACTAAATAATTGGCCTTGTTCATTATCAATTTACACAGGAGAGGATGAAAGAATATGGGCAAATAATCTTCCTTGCATCACAACAAACAAATGGCATAGGCGAGGCTGAGAAGATTGCTATTAAGAGAATGGCTCAACTCTCACAGGAGGGAATGGAGGATCTTATACAAGAGAAAAGCTTAGATGCTGTGGTGTTCCCCGGCTTTAGTTTGTCACATTCTATGACGATCGGTGGCTTTCCCATTATTAACGTACCAGCTGGATATAATAACTATGGTGCTCCTTTTGGTATATCCTTTGCTGGGTTACAGGGTTCAGATGCAACATTGATTGAGATAGCTTATGCCTTTGAAAAAGCTAC